CGGCCGGAGCCGCCGCGCGGCGGCGCGTCCGCAGACGCATCTGCGCCCGCCGCGGCGAGCGCCCAGGAGAGGGCCGCGACATCGCGCGGCTCGTAGCGGCGCAGGAGCCGCGGGTTCGCCGCCGCCTCTGCGATGGCGCCAAACAGCTGCTCGTCGTCGAAGCCGCACGTCGCGCACGCCCACGCCAGCCGCGCGACCGCGCCCGGGTGCGTCGCGTGCGGCAGCCAGGGCAGCACCGCGTCGACGGCGGCGGAGAAGAGGGCCTCGTCGGGGTGGCCGGCGGCGGCGAAGGCCCAGAGCAGGCGCGCGCGCTCCCAGGGGGCGGAGGCGCGCAGCACGCGCGGGCGCTGCGCCACCTGAAGACGGGGGCGGTAATTGATTTTGGTGGGTTGGCAGAGCTGTCAGGGTGCTGCAGCAATCCTTGCACTTTCTCTTTGTCCCTCCAATGACGTTGGGCTGACATTCGTATCAGCATTGTGATTGTATGATGATATCAGCAAATCCAGGATTGCTAGCAAGCTGGCACAAACGCCCACACCCATGCCCAAGCTCTCATCCCACTCAGCCAGCAAAGTTCGCAGCGCGCACGCCGCTCGCACCGCCGCTGCGGTCCGCGCCCTGCAGCAGCGGCCTGGGCTACCCAGCGGGCACATGTACGCGTCCCTCACCTCTGATATGGCATCAAACAGCTCCTCCGGGTGCAGCCCCGCGGCGGCGTAGCCGCAGGCCACGTCAGCCAGCGCTCTGAGCTTCAGCCGACCCGCCACCGCCGCAGCGGGCAGCGCCAGACGCTCCAGCGTGGCGCGCGCCTCGTCCGCGACCGCCTGCGCAAGGTCCGGCGTGCCGCCGCCGCTGCGACCGACATCCCCTCCCAAAAGGAACTCGGCCTGCCGCTGCTGCAAGCGCGCCGGCGAGGCGAGGGTGCCCAGCGCCGCCACAAGTCGCGGCAGCTGCAGCGGCGCGAACGCGCCTGCGGCCGCGAGCGCCGACGCGCGGCCGACCAGCGCCGCCGAGACGGCGTCGCTCAGTTGCCCGCCCTCGCCGCCGCCGCCATGGGTGCCCCCTGCGCTCAGCTCAAAGTAGCGGGCCCTCCGGAACCCAAACAGCAGCATCGCCACGGCGTCTGCCCGCAGTGGCTCCTGCGCCGACAGCACCCACGCCGCAATCTGATCCAGCAACAGCTCAGGCCGCGCCGCCCCCCGCGCCCTTGCCTCGCTGCAGCCGCCGCTACCGGCCCTGGCCGCCGTGTAGATGAGCATGCAAACCTCGGGCAGCGGTGCCCCCTGCAATCCCGACTCCTCCACGCGCGCCAACAACACGTCGATCGCCGCCCACGCAACCTCCTCCGGGCCCTCGCCCCCAGCCGCGCCCCCGCCTTCGGCACCTTGCCGCCGTCGCCGCCCACGCGGCCCCGCCAGTGTCGCGAGCGCCCATGCAACGGTCGCCGCCTGCCGCACACCCGCCTGCGACGCGAGCCCCGCGCCCGCCGCCGCCAGCGCCCGCAGCAGCGGACCGCGCCCGTCCTGCTGTGCGCGGCGCCGCGCGCCCCACAGGCGCGCGAAGCCCCAGCTCACGCCGGCAAGCTCCTCGGGCCCCAGCTCCCCCTGCAGCCGCCCCGCGGCCGCCGCCAGCGCCGGCAGCAGCGCGCGCCGCCGCTCGCGCGCCGCGCCGAGCGCCCACGCGACGTTCGCCAGGTCCTTCGCGCCCATCAGGGGCGCGAGCGCGAGCGCGCGCGCCGAGAGCGCCTCCGCCGCAGCGCCCTCCAGGGCACGCGCGCGTCCGAGCGCCCACATGAGGCCCGCCGCCTCGCGCGCGCCGGCGTCGGCGGCCAGCGGGGCCGCGAGCGCGGCGACCTTGCGCCAGAGCGGCGGGTGCAGCGCGCGGAGCGTGGCGGCGCCCCAGGAGAGGCGCGCGAGCTGCAGGGCTGCTGAGGGGATGCGGCCTTGCGGGGGTGCGGGGCGAGGGAGTTGCGAATGTCATGTGCGATGCGGTGGCTGCGGCGGGTTCACTTTGCATGAGGAGACGCAGGCCAAGATATGCAGCACTGATGGTGCACTCGCATGCCCGATTGCAACTGTGCAATCGTGTTGTCCATCCAGGGGAAACTCCCTGAGACAGCCAGGTAGCAGTCGGCATTGCAGCAGCCCCACACCTTGCGCCTCATCATCGGTCCGGCACGCGGCCACGCGCGCCGCGGCCGCCTCGACCATCCGCGCGCCCACCGCCTGCGCCCCGACGCTCTGGACCAGCCGGCCCCACGCCCAGAACAGCCCGGACAGCTGGGCAAACTGCATGCTGCCCATGAAATCGCGCGTCAGCAGCTGCAGCTGCCCGCAGGCTTCCACAACGCGCGCCGCCACTGCTGCCACCTCAGCCTCCATCGCGGCCGTGACACCGCCCTGGCCACCCCTGGCACCATTGCTGTGGGCCCTGCCGCCGGCCGCCAAGGGCGCCGCGGGCGTGGCGGCGGCGGCGGCGAGCTCCTTGGATGCCAGTTGGGCCAAGGCCACCCACGCTATTGAGATGAGGTGGGGCCGCGGGGCAGCCGCCAGCGCTGGCAGCAGGCCCTGAAGCTGCTCGACGTTCGGCGCCTCCATGATTCGTTGCTGTAACACGCCGCTGCTGCCACAGCTGGCGGCTTGGGCGTCGCTGCCTTTGCCGGTAGAGGAGTTGAAAGTGTAGGGGTCGCTGGGAGCGGCGCCGTGGCGGCCAGGGTGGACGAGCGGCGGCAGCCACTCGTCTGCGGCCCTGGTGGCGCTGGCGCTGCCCCACGTTGTGCCTGCACCGCCTGCCGCTGCAGCCGGGAGTGGCCAGACGCGGGAGCGCGCGCTGCTGCCCGCCCATGTGGCTGCATCCCGTCGGGCGGTGGCCGGCGCCTGCATTGTTTCGTGTTTCAGTCAGCCAACCGCACAGCGATGAGGCGGTGCGGCAGCAATGCTGGGTGCATGCAAGATGATTGTATGGCCCAAGACTGATGCGATTGGCAGGGAAGCACCTGCAGAGCTATCATGTCGGATGCCATCGCACCAACCTCTCGCGATTGCTGACGACGGCCGGCTGCAGCAGCAGCGCGCACCTTCAATGCCGTAGCACCGCCTGGCGCAGCCGCCACGCGTAGCCGCCAGCGCCAGTCCAGCAGCCTTGCTGCGAGACCTATATCAGTCTTAAGAATGTCATGCTGCATGCTGCGCGCTTACAGGCCGCAGATCACCAAAACCACAGGTTGTGCGCATACCAGCTGACAAGGACCTGTATAGGCTGCGTACATATTAGAAATTGGTGTATGAGAGGCGTGCTGTTGCGCTGATCACCCTGCTGTAATCCAAGAGCCTGCTTTGACAACATTTTGCCTTTTCTGTTTGCTCTGGTTCCACCCCATGCCGCACAATACCGTCTGCCATAGACCAAGGCCTGCTGTGCTTGTGCAAGTGCTGCTGGCCAGGCGCGCGTCTGCACGCACGTACAGCAGCCCCTGTGGCCCGCTTGCCCAGTCCAGCCGCGCTTGTTTTCTGAAGCACAACCCCACCTTGCTCGCACCCGCACCCTGCGCAGCGGGGGTGCGAGCCCCACATTTACATGAAGCTGTGGAAGCCTCTCCAAACTCGTCTGTTTCACTGCCCCTGCTTGCCCGCCCCAATGCAGCCGCCGGCCCCCCTGCCGCCCTCCCCCTTGTCCTGCGCGCGCTTGCCCTCGCCGCCGCCGGCCTGCAGTGAAACCCTGCGGGTAGGGAGCAGGCATGGCGCAGATGTAAACGTGCTGCATGCTGGGGGCGACTTCAAATCACTCCTCATCAGGTCAAACCGCAGTCAGTCTTGCGGGATCGCTTTCATCCCTGTCCTCCCCTTTATCCACCAGACACACCTGCAGCGTACGCACATCCCCCCAAGCCCCTCTCACCTGTCGAGCGAGCTGCGCTGCTCGTTGGAGGCCCTCGACGCCCCCTGCGGCGCGAGCATCCCCGCCAGCGTCCTCGCGCCTGCGCTCGCAAACGTGTTGGCGCCGCCGCCGGCCGCGTCACCCCTGTCCTTGAGGACCAGCGTAGTGCAGGGCGCCTTGAGGATAAGCTCCTCGCTCACACTGCCCAGCTTCGTGCGGCCGTAGCTGGAGGTGTGTTGTGT